ATGCATCAGTCAATCCAGAGTTACTTGCATAAAATGGAAAAACAGAAGAAGTAAAAGGAGATTCATCCCAGACCCACCGAGCGAGACCTTGAGTAGGCATGGGACATGCTGTAGGTGTAGAGGATTGCCGAACAGCACCTTATGCCACTCGCTGACTACTATCAAAGGACTGACCATCTCCCTGACTATCTGATTGAACAACCTCTCTCTCTCTCAGTGAATGCTCTGTGCTACAATTAGATTTTTTTTCTTTCTACCCAAAGAGGAACTTTGCTTACCATGCTGTTTCCTTTTAGAACTTGGTCCAGGCTGGGGATCATATTCATCAGTATCACTTGAACATGATATATTATACTCCCTACCTTTTGTTTCTTTCAAAAGATCCCTCTCATAATCACTTTCACCATCATTAGAGAGAGCACTTGAATCAGTGTCAATACTATCCATTAAATCAAGAAAGTAATTAATTGCCCCGACACCTTCGAGGCAGCGGCCAAATCTCGTACTGCTCTCTGTGACATTATGAAACATAATGACGTGTCTGTGTGGTATATGGAGACAAAAACAACCCACACAGTTGGCATCACTCATTATCAGCTGCGAGAAACCACTTTCTGCACCACAAGATGGGCGCGGGCAATATGAACGCCAGATCACGTACGTGACACCCATTGTCTACGGAAAAAAATCGGTGGCACGTATATGTGACACCCGAGGCGAAAGGGTTAAATATGTCAGCAAGGAATCTCTGTGAGTATTACTATTTTCACGTTGTTCATTTATAACAGTACCGTACTCCGCCAGTCACTAAATTCATCCGCAACAAACTGGGATGTTGAAGGTTTAGGTGAAAAATTTTGAAAGCAAAATAGTATATAGACCCTGTTGATTGTGAATACAGTAGCCATTCTCAAGTGTATTTCTCACCATTCGCTTTCATGGCAAAAAATATTTTCTGTGAACACTATCTTGTTTGTTTGCCTTTGTTAAAAGCCCGACGTGATTTCTCAAATGGCCCACTGTGGTGTTGACAGTCATTTGGTCCACAATTTATCCTGTAAGATACATCATCAGTACTGAAATCAACCCACTTACCAGGATCTCTTCTCCTATTATTTACAGCATGAGCATGACACATCCACATGTTCTGGAATGGTGTTGTTTTACGACCAGAAGAAGGGTCAGTCTCAGAAACACCTACAGGCTTTGTAATAATGTCTGTGTTACTGAGAGAAGATGTTGCTTTTGATGGAATCTCTTTGAAAAATGATGTCAGCTTTGGAAGTTTTGGATAATTTCACTACAGGTACTTTTTTGTTTCTTATCTTCTGTCAGTTTACGTTTATGTGCTCCATTCAGTTAGATGTTTCATCCTGCCTCTTATCTCAGTTATCTGAAGAAAAAATAAAATACAGTATAATTAAAAATAAATTACACAATACACTTACTGTACAGCCATGATATCTATTACTTTCACCAATACCATGCTCCCATACACCCTGTACATGAGTGACATAATTCCACTGACAAAAGTGGTGCTAAATTACAGAACTGTACATAACATACATTGAAAACAAACAAAATGTCATAATTTTTTGTTGATTAATGCAGACCTGGTTTAGGTGGGGATAAGGAATAAAAGGAGAACAGAAAAATGGGGGAAGAGTTAGTAGTGGGGTGTAAGGAAGTCTTAATGATGTTCTGAGTTTTCCCATGATGACTAATTTCATGCTTTCTTTGAAATATAAAATATAAAATTATTTCAAAAAATAATAAAATACAATAAAATAGAATCTAATTTTTTTTGGGTGACCCCTGGCCCCCTGCTTTACTGGTGTCCCAATCACATACAGTACTTAGTCTGCCTACTGGGTAATCCAAGACTGAACATGTGTCACTCAGAAGGCAAATGCTGAATTGTCATAGGCAAAGATAATAATATATGAAGCACTTTTCTGAGGTAATGTACAAGCATTTAAGAAGACTGGACTTAGTGCAACTAACAAAGTGCATTTGACAAGCCACTGCTGAGGACCCTATGGAATACAAAGGTAGTTGCTACACATGCAAAACAGGAATAAGTACAGTAATAGCAAAAATAAGTGGAGGTCTGCATGATCAAAGAGCTTGGAGGAAGCTTTACATTAACCAGTGCAAAAATGTGGAAAGCAGCTCTCTCTAAACAAAAGTTATCAAGCACTCACCTGGTAATCAAGAGTCATGCAGCCCAGACCTCTCCTTTCTTTTCTGTAAATTCTATAAGCTGTTGGTGGCTGCTGTGACTGCGGAAGCTAGGGGTATCTGTCACACTTAACCTTACCACAATGTTCAGATCCTTAGAACCACCAAGAATATTCTGAAATTTAAGAATATATATCAGTGATTTGTCCAAGAAATTTTAAAAGCTGTGGATATGAATTTCACTTTTATAATAGTTACTTTGGAACCTCAATACTCATCAGCAACAGCCTTCAGTATTTTGTAAGGGGATGCTTTAATGAATAAACATAACAATCACTTTTGTCTCATCTGGCAAAACAATCTCCAAATGAAAGACTAAAAAAATGTAAGGTAACTCTTCATATGAATTAACAAAGGAAGGGAAAATGAGACCAAACTACATTTTATAAGCAGGAAGAAATATTCAAAATACTCATGAAGTATTAACCTAACTAAACCCTATGTCAGAAGAAGAGAAATCCTTCCTCTGGATCAAACCTTTCCTTCCAAAATAATACAGGAACTCACACTCAACACTTTGCATTACTTCAAGGAGATCATGAAAGAAAACCTATACAAACATAAGTAAGATTTAATGAGGATTAGATGAAACTTGATTACCTTTCATGAAATATAAATTACCAATACTGTGAGAAGATTCCTGGAGGACAAGAATTATGCTGTCTAAGTTGACCAAACTCATAAAATGACAATAAAACTAAAGGTGCAGTGTACAGCCGTAGTACACAATTTCATTTCAAAGATAGTGATCCTCTACAAATAAGCTGTGATTCAAGATAATGCTGTCCCATAATTATAAAAACTATATACTATAGTAGCAACACTTCTGCATGCAGTGTCACTACGCCACACTACTTACCGTCCTCAACAACGGATACTCGTCCGTAAGCCAAAAAAATTTTCAATGGGACTTATTATGGAAGAGTATCCGTAAAGTCAGAAATCCATAACTCGAGTCATCCATAACCCAGGGAGTGTCTGTATTGTACTGCAAATGTTTTATTATCAGCAATACAATAATAAAGTAGTTAAAATGACATATAAATCATGATTTCTAGCTGAAAAGTGACAGTGAAAATATAGGCTAATGGTTACAATTCATCACCAGTCCTGTAATAATATGGGTAATAATTTAGACATCAGACTCATGGGAATAAACAACACAATGGAAAATATCTAAAGAATAAAACTTGTTTCTTACCTCATGGAAAAAGAAATGGGTGTCCTTCTGTTGACACTATTTAACAAGACCCTAATGAAACTACCTAAAGTAACCTATAACACTGTAATGAACTTACATCTTAAGAGAAGTAGGTTTTGTTGGTTTCTTATTTACAATAAAAATTCTGTCCCTGCATAAGCCAACACCACACTATTCAAATTTATTGATTAAAATTTTTTAGTGACATCATTTTCTCCTTGCACTGCTGTCTCTACCAATTTCTCCAATATTGTGAGGAAACAAAATAAAACCATTCAATCCTTGGAAGTTAGGTACGTCTGGATGAATAACCTGGTAGGCTACACAGACAGCCAGGCTATACAGTCATGAACCTATAAACATATTAACAACTATATATCTGTAACTTGACACTGTATACAGTTTCTGCTTAATATGCTGGGGGTCTGCCAGTTAAGTAAGGTAAGGTGAGGTTAGATTAGGTTCTGTGCATTGCTGTTTCCATTTTCTTGTTTAGTATCAGGCAAATTATATCCCTAGAAAATTTGATGTAATTATATAAACTGTTTCGGGTGACGAGTTTAATTTCGGGGTAATGGTGAAGGAACGGTTAGCACCTGAAGGAGTTCATAAATTTTGGTCATATTTTCTAGTTATATTTTGGAAGATACTAATTAATAAAATCGATTCAAGAACTTTTTGTCTTAATTAGAAGTATTTTTTTTTTTATCTATGCTGATAAATCACCAGTAATGGGCAGGGCATGAAGGATGACGGTAATTAAAGGATAAAAACACGATGAAAAACAGATCATGATATTATTTGATGTGATTTCCGACAGATGAAGGTCCAAATGGTTCAAAACACATAACTATCGGAAAAACATATTTTGGATCCCTAATCTAACCTAATTCTTAAGATTCCAAAGATAACCATAATTAAAATAATACCAAGAATAGCACTGGGCTTCAAAATAGCCCTTGACAAAATTATCAAGAACAGAGGGAACTTACACAGGCCACAGAACTCCTTCCTCCCCACGACGAGGTCACTTCTAATGGGTGGTCAATGGTCATTAGGTAAATAAGACGAAACTTGACCAACACTGGCGCAGGCATATACCATTCTGGAATCATTACTGTGCATGCCCAGTGTCTGCCAACAGAGCATATCAGAGAAGTGACCGACCCCCTCAAGTGGCGAAGAGGATAAGTAAAATGAGGTTAAGTTAAAAACACAATCCTCCTTACCTACTTCGCTCTAAAGTAGATGATGCCAGAGAACTTTGTCCTCAAATGAATATCCTCCAAGGTTGCATATGCTTCCAGTTCATTCTTGGACCAGATCGCAGCTCACATTCACTGCTTTATCGCCACGTATGCTGAACGACTCTCATGAGTTAGTGATTACTGTATTATGACTTGAAGAACCCCGGGGCTAATGACCAGAGTAAGGGGTCAGGTCCTATTGAAACTATCAACGCGTCAACAAAGAAAGCTGTATAATTAAGGGTGTACTAATATATATATATATATATATATATATATATATATATATATAGGTTGAAAAATAATATATCTTAAACTTCATTGTTTTATATAAAAACAGTAAAGATTCAGGGTCATCAAGGGTACTACAGTCCACTGCCACAGGAGCAGTTAGTATTTTGTACTAGAAACATATCCACAAACATGTGAACCGAGTCCTTAGTAAAGTATATAAAAACATCACTTAAACTTAATCTCACAAAAGAATGCCAATACAAAAATTACCCTAACTAAATCAATGGCAGCTTCAACATCTTAAATGGTAAAAGACATTAACAGCATAAATAACACACACACACACACACACACACATTTATTGTTACACAAGTATCCCAGCACTAAGGCAAATTATATCGGGAGATTCCTAAATAGCAGAATATCCATGGAAATTAAATGTGAAGCATCCTGCTGTGTCCCTTGAGAGAGAGTTTACAAGTTGCTGCAGGCGGTGGTGGTGAGGGCGTCGGTGGGCACACAGCCGTCATAGGTGATGGAGACTGTGGTGGACGGCTCAGTGGTGGTGATAACGGTGTTGACAGTCCTCGTCGTCGTTGACCAAATGGTGATCAGCCGATTTCGGAGAAGCCGGGGAATGCGACGGTCATTGACGACACAATCACACGACGGTAACACCATCTCCACCACGCTGAGGCTGTGGGACTCTTCGTCCTTGACAGCTGTACGAAGAGGTCTGTGAAGGGGAAGGAGAACATCCTTTAGGCTTAAACAGTATAAGGCTTATGAAATGGTTCCCACGATAGTGTCCCACCTGTTCCAGCGTAAGTAATTCTGTGTCGCATAATACGTATTAGTTTGAATACATTACTAGCAAGAGTGCCAAGTGTGGTAGTGAGTATATTTCTAGACATAAGAATTGGTTAGGTTTGTCCTTGGTCTCAACATTATGGTGTCAACAACTAGTGTGAAATACAAATTAAACAGCGTCCACTCGATGCTTGCACCCAGTTCGCAGGAATTATATATTATTCTCATAGATGACATTCTGGGAGAGGCTTAGGTATTATTATTATTATTATTAACAACGTTATCATTACTGCAAATTCTCTTAACTGAGATAAATGTGATTAAAACATTAACTTCAGAAGGGTTTAGCCATGGTGATCTGGGGGAGGGAGGAGGACATCGATGTACACCAAACTACGATTGGTGGACTTACTGCGAGAGCTGGTCAGTCTTGGTGGGCTGGATGAGGTGCGTCAGGTCTGGGAGGAGGGAGTGAGCGGGGGCACAGGCAGACACCCCGGAAACTGTAGTGGTACAAGTGGGGTAAACTTTGACGGTGTGGTAGATGGTGGTCACCTCTGTTTTCTGCACATTCTCAATGGTTAATATCTGCGTTTCCTGTATTCCGGTCTCCTGGGTCCTGGCTTCCGCCCACAGGGGGATCTCCGGCTTCGCGAAGGTCACACTCACCAAAAGGAGGAGAGACGCTACGGTTCGGCCTGCCATCTGTTGACACCCAAAAGGGAGGTTAGTCATAAATTTTATAATAAAAAAGTCCTTTTATGTTCATCAACAAAAAGAGAGGACAAACACTCGGGAAGGATAGCAGCTGAAAAGTTTTCCTCTGTCACATATATTCCAATTGTGTTTACATAATAACATTTTGAAGTAGGATAATTCTTGTAACTTTATCTACAGTTCTCTTTTTCGTATATTTACACGTTTACAGCTTTGTTTACTTACTACATTTACATATGCTGTATTATTCTCAATGCTCCTGAAAGAGTAAAGTTTATACTCTTTCTTGCAACCATAGAAAGGCTCGGATGGAAGATATTGTGTTATTTATGGGTTTGATTTTTTAATAATAATAATAATAATAATAATAATAATAATAATAATAATAATAATAATAATAATAATAATAATAATAATAATAATAATGTGGACAGGTAAGACGCCTTCAGCCGACCTTTCCTAATTATATTTTCGAAATTGGAAAGGAAAATGGAGAGATGATGAGGGAAAAGATGAAGTAGGAAGATGTAATGGCTGGGTAGGGAGGTGATGGAGGGTATGGAGGTAATGGAGAGAGGGAGGTGATGAAGGGTAGGGAGTGATGAAGGGTAGGGAGTGATGAAGGGTAGGGAGGTGATGTAGGGTAGGGAGGTGATGAAGGGTGGGGAGTGATGTAGGGTAGGGAGGTGATGTAGGGTAGGGAGGTAATGGAAAGAGGGAGGTGATGTAGGGTAGGGAGGTGATGAAGGGTAGGGAGGTGATGAAGGGTGGGGAGTGATGAAGGTTAGGGAGGTGATGAAGGGGTGGGAGTGATGAAGGGTGGGAGGTGGATTATATGGGAGGGTGATGAAATTGTGAAGGAGTGGTAGAGTGATGAAGGGTGGGGAGTGATGAAGGGTAGGGGGGATGAAGGGTGGGGAGTGAAGGGTGGGGAGGTGATGAAGGGTGGGGAGTGATGTAGGGGATGGCTGAAGGGGTGGGGAGGAAGGGTGATGATGAGGGTAGGGTAGGGAGGTGATGAAGGGTGGGGAGTGATGTAGGGTAGGGGAGGATGAAGGGTGGGGAGTGATGTAAGGGATGAAGGGATGTGATGAGGGTAGAGGTGATGGGGAGGGTGGGAGTGATGTAGGGTAGGGAGGTGATGAAGGGGTGGGGGTGATGTAGGGTAGGGGAGGTGATGAAAGTGGTGGGGAGTGATGTAGGGTAGTGATGAAGGTGATGTAGTGATGTAGGGAGGTAATGGAGAGAGGGAGGTGATGTAGGGTAGGGAGGTGATGAAGGGTAGGGAGGTGATGAAGGGTAGGGAGGTGATGAAGGGTGGGGAGTGATGAAGGTTAGGGACCTGGGGTGAGGGGGTACTGACGCAAAATAACTCATCGTCCATACAGAAACTGAGTGTAAAACAACCATAGAGTTTATTTCCTTAACCTGCTAATTTTTTTCTCAAACTGTCATTAGAATACGTCAGAATGAACAGTACAGTGTTAATCAATAAAGTATAATATTACTGAGTTTCGTGGAGATCAGACGAATGGTTTTGTATGAAAAAGCGATAATATAATTTCGATAATTTATTTTTTAAACACTATTTATAAAACTAAACCATAAAAAAAATATTCAGTCTTTAAAGTTTCATGAAAATCAGCCAGAAAATTTAGGTGATGAAGCGATAACAAAGTTTTTCACGACAGCGGCCAGGGAGGATGACACCTTTGTGTTTGAATGTATATTGTCAGTTCATCGTCTCAAGTTCACTTTCAATACTTCGACCATATAATAATAATAATAATAATAATAATAATAATAATAATAATAAAGACGGCGGCAACACCATATTTTATCCTGGGCCGAGTCTGGGGGCGCTGCTCGCTGACGTCAACATCGGCGTCAGTGTATTCGTTTTCTTTGTTTTTCCTTACGCGTGGAGGAGTTGCTCGGGGACAGGAAGGAGCCACATCAACACCACCTACTGCGGGCCACTGACTCTTCCCAGCTCCCACTCGATCATGCACAAGGACAATAAGAAAGGTTGGGGGTGGATATTGACGACGTGTGTGTGTGAGGCTGTGAATTTAGATGCATAGGAGGACTATGATGGATCACCACTCCACGACCCCCTGACGGAGACACGATGATCCTCCCCATACTGGCCAGATATTTTGTAAATAATATTGATTATGTGTTAAAGGAATATCCTTCCTCCCTTAGGCTTTAGTAAGCCCCTTTATAATATTTATACTGTATATACTTGTCACACTTGCCAGATGCTTCTGGTGTCATTGTACAGGGGTACCTAGTGACAGCACTAGGATCCCGCTTCCTCTATCAAGGAATAAACAATTGAAATTGAAATTGAATTGAGGACTATGAGGTGGGGTGGGGGGGCGGAAACTGGTCGCCACAATCGCATCCATGCCATACGCCCGAGTACTAATCACTACCATAACATCCCCCATTTCAACCACTGGAAAAATCTTTTGTATTGTAAACTACACTGAAAATCCTTGTGTCGCTATACTGTATGACTCGAAGCAGTTGACTGTCCAATCAAATTCAAATTCAAAACATTTATTGACATATATCAAAATGACTGGCCAATAGCTGAATGTCCTTCTTTCACTCACCTGTCCAGCTACCGTCGAGGTTTTTTCCTAAGGCTCGTCACCCACAATACAAATAAGTCTAAAATATAAACTCTTTGTTTTTATAAGCATTCTAATGGTTATTTCTCTTACTCAAATAAGTAAATTTACGCAAGAGCTCCGCCAGGTAACACTGATTTAGTCATATCTTGAAACAAAGTCACTGATCCTGCAGAAAAGTGTTACTGTGACCGCCGCTACCAACACTAAATGTCGGATTTCATATTTCCAGATCCTGTGTGAAAAACAACAACAGCATTTTCACCTCATCAGCGACCATAAAAGAAAACAATTCGTCCCTCAGGTTAGTCTTAAGGCAGTAACAAAAAAAAAGGTTTATTATAATAACTAGCCTGTCGTGAAATATTACCCATAATAATAGGAGAACGGAGTGTCCCAGCTGGCGGGGAGAGTGACGGCTCTTTTAATAACCTTCCCACAACGACGGGCGCCTCAGCTCAAACAGACGAACACTTACAACCACTCACAATGCTCCTGGTGACTACACTCCCTGCCCCTCACCGACCACCACAACATTGTACCCCACTAACCCGTGATGTTACTGCACACACACACGCTGGAGACACTCGACTCGATCTCATCATACTGTTCGCCGCACGATTAACCAATTAACCTCTTTGCCCTCGTTAACTAATGTAACTACCACGCCTCACACCACAGCAATAAATCACGATACAGTAGTTGATACTCGGGTGAGGACTACTGCTTCATCAAGCTTTCAGGCTTTTATTTCTTAAATTTTTAAGTAGCAATTTTTATACCCGAGTTATAAATTGAAGAAAATCAAAGTAACACCATCTGCATCATGTAATGTTAACTCAGACAAACTAAAGGTTCAGGTTCGGTAAAGTTAATATATGTTGGTGAGGTCAAGTAATGTTAATAATGGTATGATTCAATTATTATTTATATCTATATCATTAAAACGTGTGACTGTTGCTACAAGATATAAAAATGAAAATATTATTAAGAATAAATACAAATATACGTGTATGAATAAAAGATAATCATCTCTGCCCATTCAGATTAACATACACAGTCTGAATAATTAACCGTCTAGAGAAAATATTTACACCTACGGCATAAGTTTATTCCTCCCAGCCAGAGGATGTCCGCCCTTTCCTACACGGCAGGTGGTGGTAGTCGTACCGTCCAGCGCTTCTAATGCATGTCTTGACAGGCGTCGTAAATATCGGTGTGCTACATCGCCTCATACTTGGTTGTCGCCACAGAGCACACAAGACACAGCTCCACATAACCTAACCACTATGACATCACCAAGGAAGTCCCCCATTTTCCTAACATGTACTTATGTGAATATGTAAAGTACTCGTCCAAAGCTCGTGGGAAGTAACAGTTGCCATGTTTTGGAGAGGTAACGAAGACCAAGAAAGGACTTTATCTGGTATTCAAACTAAAATATTTCCCAATACAGTATGTTTAAAACTGTTTAATTGTATCCACACCATGGGTAATAAAATGTTACGGTTCTCTGAGGGAGCATTAGTTTATACCAGCACTCCCTTAATGCGGAAGAGACTGACGTGATGAATAATCTCACCTCAAACTCTTACTCCTCTTGAGCACCCATCAACCCTGGTGTTGTTGAATGGCTGACAGCTCATCCAAACTTCTTCGTTACCTCAGGTGGAAAGATGAACGTGGCAACAGACGTAAAGGCTCTAGGCTATGAAAAGGACACTCACCTCCGAGTACAAGGCGGAAATCAAAGGACACAAGTCGTTCTCCCTTAGTCAGGTGGTTCTTCTCGCGTCGGTGGTGTATAAGGGATTCGGTGATGTCACTACCCCGAGGAATCATCGACTACGTGAAGCAACAGGAAACTATGAAAACGAATGGGTAGAAATATCTCCCTAAGAAAACGATACAGTGTTTGTTGTCCTCGTCACCATCACTGCGAACACCACATCACTGTGTTGTGTTGGTGCGTTCGTTATGTTGACTTTCTTGTGCACCTCACGTTTTTTTCTTTTTAATTTGTCATTTTCTTAATGGTCATAGTCAGCATATGTTTTTTTCTTGCGTTTTCTATCATTTGTTTATCTTTTCTGTTGTTGATTTTCTTCTTTTATTCCCAGGATAGGAATGGTTGTTGTTTACCTTCTTCTATCACACCCAGGACAGTACCAGATTGTAAGATGCTCAACCACTACCGCCACAGTTACCTTCACCCCCTTCTAATGCCGCCACGTAAAAAAAGTTTTAATTCAATCCCCATTATTTGAGTCACTGATGATAATAATCCTTTCCTTCCGCGGTGTGTGTGTGCAATTAATTAAGATTTACGCCTAACAACCAGACATGAGAACCTAACACTTCCCTCCAATCAATGTAACTCCTCCGCACCACTCACTAAATCGGTCATACGTGTTGAGGAAAACCCTGAAATTGGACTGAAATGACCATGAACCGTGATAACTTGAGACACGCCTGCTGCAGGACACCATAACCAGTAGCTTGGGTGAGAGAGAACCTTGAGGGCGTCGGGGATGAAGGTAACACGTCCTTCTAAGTCCTTCACCAGGACCCCTACATAATAAAGCGAGAATACACACTCCGATGAAAGAATTGTTTGTTTATTACTGAGTTTCATCTTCCCCTCTCTCTCTCTCTCTCTCTCTCTCTCTCTCTCTCTCTCTCTCTCTCTCTCTCTCTATTCGTGAATATAAACAAACAAGCCTCGAAGATAACCACTGCCCTATTGCTGCAAGCCATTCAGTGGTCACCGTGAGCGAGAACACAGCCATTACCTGTTGTCTCGTGGGGGTAAACAAATTTTATTCCACGTTATTTGCACGTCGCTGAAGCCACATATGCTTTGTTGTTGTTTGGTTGACTCTACTAGGGTTGTGAGGCGTAGGTATCAAGGTTCAAATTCACCTAACTGGTTGACTTAAGATAAAACGCCAAAGTAACATCTTATTCATGCTGTGATTCTTTCTTGATTAGATAAGGTTCGCTTAATGTCGGCCTCGAGACAAAATTACTAGAATATCTTCAAATACTCTTAAACATAATTTTTATCTCGTACTAAATTAATGTATCTACTTAAGGCTGAGTTACAATATAAATGCGGCTATTTTTTTTGTTAATATTTTTGTTTGTGGAACCTTAATGAACTTGGGGCCTGACTCTGTGGTGGTGGTGAGGACGGCAGGTGTTCTGGGACGCACACCTTCACGGCCACGAAGGAGTGGAGGAATGCTAACTTGACATAAACAAACAGGAGAGCTCATAATTAATGTTATGGTGAAATTAAGAATTCTGTATTATGGTAAAATAATATTCACATTAGACATCAAAGAATTCCCAGTGAGAAATGAGGACTTAGTTTAATCACTACTTGATAAGCAATTAAATTCCTCGTCCCTACTGCAACACACGCAAGAGCTTCAACAAGAACAACAATGTGTTAAAATGCTCTTGTCTAATAAATGATTGTGTCTTTTTGAACAAGTCAATAGGTACATAAATTAGCTCCAAGCTCTATATAATGCTCCAAGAAATATTATAAATAAACCCGTTTAACTAATATTCATGTTCATTTATAACTATCTAAATGTTTATCTATTGTAGTTACTAATCTATTTATTTCATATCCATTTATTACTTTGAATGGCAATCACTCAACTCAACAAGTGAACGTCTTACCCTCCATATAACGAAGATAACACCCAATACCACTGAAAGTTATCCAAGGAACACAAGGGCACTAATACCCAATAACTAAACCTAGATTTACTTTCATGTACAACAAATTAGAAAGCTGAGGGTAACGTCGCCACAGACCAGCACCGCCGTGGTCGACCGTACCAGCCAAGACGGAGATTTCAACGAAGAAGTGCAGAGTAATCCTGAGGAAGCGGGGGTCTCCTCACGCCCTCGGCTCTCTCTCTCTCTATGTTCCGGTGACACCTGATCACGTCCTCACCCTGGTTCTGAGTGTGTGTACCTGATAGACGTAATATGAGTACGTGTGGCAATGTTGGGGTTATGTCTCACTCGTAAGACATTATGAGTGTACGGTCGTGTGTGGAGTCATGTGTGTATGTTGTATGACTATGTGGTGTGTATGCGAGGTGAATGTCATAAGGGGTTATTAATTACATGTTGTATAACGTTGAAACACGCAGCAAAATATCTGATATATTAAAGTTTGAGTCATGATTACGTCAAAATGATTATACCTGTGTTGCGCACCTGTAATTACCTGTGTTGATGAATCACGTAACTATAATTTACAATACACAAGAGGGTCACAAAATTATCCCCCCACCAAGCTACAGTACATCCTAGTCAACTTGTTCCAGTGTCCGACGAGAGCATTGGACCAACACTGGGCAAACTCACTATTATTCCTATAAAGCAAATTACACGCAGGAGGTTAATTTTTACTCTAATTTCTCGGGGTTGTAAAAATATTTATCCTATATGATTATGTCGTCCACCTTAGGAAGTAAAATTGTCTAATGATATAGTCACCCCACACATAAGCTATATAATATACCAGTCTTAACACCACACATCTGCTAAAAGTCTCTCCTACACCAGCCACAACCCCCATACCTACCGCCCACACCTGTCACGCTCTACGTCACACACCTGCGGGAGGCCACACAAACATCTGGAGGTTCTGAGGTACGTCGAGCGAGACCACAAAACTCTCAGGAACTTGAGCTGAGACCACGTGGGTGATGATAATTGATTAGCGTTACTGTAAGATTTCGGTTCGATACCCTTCAGCAGGGCTACGAGGCGGATAGTGTGTCACGAACGCCTGTGTGGTGTTGAGGAAGTGGCGGGCAAGGATTCGATTTTGCTAAGAACCAAAATAATTGTAAACGGATAAATGTATAAAAAAATAAGTAAATAATTAATAATAAAAAGTTGAGCGTGATATTATTATTATTATTATCTAAAGACTAAACATCCACAATAAAAAAAAATAAAAAAATATATATAAATGGTCAAAATACAGTAACAATTAAATTTTTTATATTTCAATTATGCTCGATGTAAATATATTCCAAATAATTAATAAATAAATAGACACCTATAATCATAGTTATTTGAGTCTAGTTTAATATAATATATTAATTGATAAATCTATTATTTTATATTTTAAGTCTATTTTCCCGAAATTTATTGTTTTTATAAAAGCATTAGAAACAAGTTGAGGTAAGCCTGTAGACAACCACTGGGCAGACTCAAACGTTAATCCTGTGTGTGTGTGTGTGTGTGTGTGTGTGTGTGTGTGTGTGTGCGCGCGTTAATATTGACACTTCACTCAATATCGTACACAAAGAAAATATATTAAAGTCCACAAACATGTGTACAGTTATATCACACCTCAGCCGATGTACCGAGGAGTGAAGAGTCATTGTGGTCAGTACATAACACATGAATCAACACTTGTGGTTATAATGGCGGTAATATTACGTCCGTCCTACCAATGTGTGTAGCAACATAACAGCCATACTATATAGCACTTGGTCAATTATACTACGCTATCTATGGGTAATATATCAACCCGAGGAATGCATAATACTGGATTAACTATAATATGTATGGATATAATAAGCTTCCCGTCACACTGTATAGTACTACCTCAAGCATACTGAACTGTGCGAGCCGTATAAACAATATATTTATTGGATAGTATTTAAAAAAAGTATCTATCCAAACTGTATGAAATATTGAGACCCTGGCTGATAGATATTGGGACATGCATTTACTTTGGTATATAATATAACATAAGTAATATAATATGCATTTATTTCGGCGTAAATAATATGTTCGGTTACCAAATGTATTACGACCAGTAGGCCACAGATCCACGAGTACCAACCTCCCGGGACATTACGAGTTGCATCGTACCAGCCTGGCAAATATTTTTTAGATACTACTATTCTTATCTACGCATATATTTACTAGACCCTAACTTTCCTAATATACAACATTCCGTACCCAAACGTTACGAGTCATCAATCCTTTTACCTACTATTAACACCAGACTATTGAGAACACCAAATACACACACACACACCTTTTATTGAATTACGTCCACGGTGACATAATCCTCCATACCAAGAGTAATCTTGTTTGGCTAACACACCCAGTGTAACATAACACACCTAATCCAACACACCCGGGAGACAGTGACACACTCATGCCAACACACCCAAATAATACACCCGGGCATCACACCTCGGGGGGCACGGAGACACCCAGGGGGGAGCACGGATACACCCAGAAAAATACACTCGGGCATCACCCAGGGGGGCACGGAGACACCCAGGGGGGAGCACTGATACACCCAGAATAATACACTCGGGCATCACCCAGAGGGGCACGGAGACACACAAAATAATACACCCAGGAGGAGGGGCACGGACACATGGGAAGGACCTACCTCGCGTGACAACTTTCTGCTTCCCGCGTGAAAAGGAAAATGACACGAATCCTCAGCCAACGGCCTTTTATAGCCCAAGTCTTCCCTCCCCCTCCCGTCATGTATACACCTCCTCCTCATCCCTCCCCCCTCTCCTCCCTCCTCTTCCTCGACACGACTTCCTCCCTCCGGCTCCTCCTCCTCTTCGTCCTTGTTCCCTCTCACCTCTTCCTCCTCCTCGTCGTCGTCTCTTCTTCCACCTCATCACCTCCCTTAACGTTCATTTCCCGTCCACTCAGTATCCTTCATTACCTCCTCAATATTCTTCACTTCCTTGACCTCTCCTCCACTTCATTCTCCACTCCTTGACTTCCCCTCTACTCCTATGCCCATCCTTACAGATCCTTCGCATTTTTTTCCTATATCAATCCTTCTGCATCCTCGTCACACATACAGCCGAGTGTTCAGGCCAGTTTAAGATGTAATGGATGAGATCAGTGCTGGGTAACGAGCACGACTCACTGCCTCCTGTAAACGCTGCCTCGTTGAAAGTGCTTGCTTGCTTGTCTACCTTTCTCTGTCCTCTCTTATTTTCTCTCTATCTCTTATCTATTCTTATTTTCTCTCCTCTCTTTTTTCTATTTACATATTTCTAACACTTGTTCTATTTTTATCACATTCTACTTATGTTTTCACCTTGTTCTATTCATAAATCTCTCAGTACATCAGTCAACCATTAACTAACAAACTAAATATACCAAATAATAGAAAGCCTGAATTAAACTCTTCCATAAATAACGTCCATACTTCTACACAGATTATAATACTGTAATAAAGTTCGTAAGCAAGTCTAATAAAAACATTTCCTCTGTCAGGTCCACCGTATAGAATATTAGAAAACGGGTTTGATTGGCTGGGGTTCCTATGGTCACAGGGCCGTATTACTTAATTGGAAAGTTCTCTGATTGCCTCATCGCATGGTAATATTGTTTGTCTATATATAATAATGAATCTCAGTACCTAAAACCGTTTGTGTATAAAGTTAAATTCATATTAATAAGCGTCTTCTTAGAAATTTAGAAGGGACGGTTATGATGCGCCGCGCTTCAACAATTTAAAGTCTTCAAACGCGTAAACCTCTTCAGTTTATGCATTATATAACAGAAAGGTGTGAGAAATATAAATAACCATCTATATTAAATAGTCAGTATATTAAGAATTAATTTTTTGGACTAGTATTTACCCAGTATTATCTAACGTTCTCTATATCTTCATTAATTTTATTGTACATGGAACTGACACACATGAGCGAGATAATCTCCCTTAATTAGTAAGTAAAGTAATTTTCCTGTATGATAATCCTCCTTAACAACCATAAAATATATTCTTCCTTCCTTAATGAATACTGAATATACACTTTCTGCTTGCTTACCATATGTGTACAGTATAATATCCCCTACATTTGCATATTTATTTATGTGTAGACTTACTGTACATACCAAATATGTAGGCTATCTATATAATCGGAATTTTTATATCAGATAATTACCTACAGTACAGATACAATCACACCTCCCCGACATTTACCTATCAATGTGTCTGTACTGTACTGTATATCTGAGGGCTTCCACCTAGGCTGAGTTGGTGACTTTGAGAGTGACCTTGTCCTGAGCTACGCTGGTGTGTGGCCCGGCCCCACCACAGCCCGGGTCCACCACACCACCACTACCTCCAGTCTTCACCACAACCACCATCATCACACCTTCCCTGCCGAACTGGGTACTTGGAAATGCTAACTGGACGTGTGCGAGTCTGAGGTGTGAACGCCCTAACTCAGTCAGGGATTTTCTTGAAATACAGAACATGGATATATCCCCAAAACACATATCACTGAAGTTCCATAACCAAATTTCTTTATTTTGGAAAATTTCGGCCATAAGCTGCCTAACGGTATTAACTCAAAGATGGTTGGTAAACTGGTTTTAAAAATCTTACTGATGTGGCGCAATGGCAGCCAAAAAACACGATTTCGCGTATTTTCATATAACAACAATATCATCACCTCTTCGTGGACAGCTTAGGAAAGATTTTTATTGTTTTATTTTGTTATATGGTGAGAGGTTTAATGTAGACGAAAATGTTTGTTTAGAAAGTGTCTCGTGTCGTTGTTCGTACATTCGATAGGGTGGTTACTCTGTTAGCGTTCACTCTTACTCTACACCGAGAACATTAGTGTAATATAAGTGTGAGTTTCTGGTGCTAACGTCTCTAAACGGTCATTAACTAAGTGCTTGTTCTTTTCATTATGTACAAAGTGAATTTATGGCTGAAAGTCATGCAAGCAAGATACCATGCACACTTACACAAAACATGAATACACATTACCACCACAGACACTCACTAATATTCACACGCACGCACCCACGCCTCGGTCACCGGGTGTATGACACTTCCAGCAACTTGTACAATGAGGTGACTTCTGACTGTTTGACTGACTGTCTACTCAGCCTGTTTCCCTCTTGACTACAGAGTATTTGATTATATCTGCCGTCTTCTCTGGCCACACGGTGCATGCCTTCTCTGAGCCCCTCAACATTAACATCATGTAGCTGGAGAACAAGTGATAAAACAGACCATAATACAAAAAAAATGCGTAAATAGATAATATAATCCGTCTCTTACATAAACGACCAAGGAGCTTTATCTCCCTGGTAACGATACTAGGGAGGCGGCCCCGTCACACGTAAACAGATTTCATGGCGGCGACACTCAGTTTTTATTATTATCTTATAGTTTTAATTAATATACAAAAACTAATTATTAGTGTTTAGTATAGTATTCTGATATCGTAAGTTAAGTTCAGTTTTCAAGCACAATTCACAATACAGGTACTTGGTTTCTAAAATTATGAAGCATTTCTATGTTCGTCTTGAGCTCATACAGCACAAATGATCGATGACCACAGACATCAACTACGACGACGAGGTGACAAGCCACCGGTGTCGTGACCAAGGCGACCGATTGATGGTAAGGAAAAGAAAAATGGACCTCGTACGTGAGCAATTGAGTAATTATGTACTGCCTCAGGCGCGGCTGATAGCGATACCGGATAATACAGTGAAATATCAACATAGACATAAATAAAAATAAAACACGTCTTCCATTATAGGCACGTAACCCATGAGGTTAACTACATACATTTAATTACGATCTTTGAATATTTAGCGATTGGTATATTATAAATTAAACAAATTAAAGTAATTTTCATTCTTTTACTATTATTACCAGTTCGGTAACGTCAGCAGAACGCCCAGGTGGAACAGTATACAGTAATTTCTAATGGGACTTTTCCTAGTTATTATGTAGTTTCCCTTATTACCTTTCGTTGATTCCTTCGTCCACGGCAAGTCTTACGTGAAACCAGTCCCATTTTTTCTAAAGTTATATAAGATGAAACTGAATATTCGCTTTTAATGTATCTTTTCTGAAGAAAAAAATGAACGGAATGATGGTTGACGCTCAGAGTTTAATCGCGGTTGTTGGCTGCGTTTACTCAGGTTAATGAGCCCCTTTCCTCGCCTGACTAGATTTTTTTCTTTTCACACGCGAGCTGTTTTTCCTTCTTCAAGTGCGATTAACGCAGACCATGAGCTATTCTTGATCACCCTTGTAACACAGTGAACTCGGCAGACCTCCGCGTCACGTCTTGGTAATAGACTGTTGACTCAGAGGGATACGGCACTAAAACTTTTCTGAAGAGCCCTCGTGAGTCTGACGTGACCCCCCGACCTCAAATGGGTCACGTTAAATTAAAATAGGTTAGGCTAGCTTAAATTAGGTAAGGTTGATTTTGTTAGGCTAGGCTAGGTTAAGTTCGTTAACTTGGCCTAATTTACGTTTGTTCCGCTGGGTTAACATAGGTTAGGGTGAGTGAGGAACGTCATGCTAGGTATAAGGGGAATTATTAAGGAAGTATGAGGGGAGAGATGAGAGGAGGAATGAGAAGAAGAGGAAGGAAACAGGAGGTAGGAAGAGGAGGTAGGAAGAGAAAGCGGTCACGGTAGAAGTACTTGTGGTCAACCCGGCATTAAGCATTAACATTTAACACTGACGACTCCCGAGGCCCTTTCCCCCGCCACCACGTGTATCTGCGGACACCACTCCGTCGAGACAGCTTAATGGGTGAATAAATTAAGAGGAGCGAGAGTAACCGAATGACAGCCAGTGACGGAGAGATTCGCTACGTGGCCGTCTAGTGATGTTATGTGATGCGTCTTATGACATTAATGAAATGGAATATAAACATGTTTTAAGAATGAAAATGATTTAATGAATATTGAAATGCTTTAATAATGAACACTTAAGTTTTGTATACGTATTATGAATGAAAAAAACAACAATGATTTATGAATGGAAATAAAGGATATAGTTAATGAATGAAAAATATAATGAGAGGACTTTTTTTTAAGAGTGAAAATCCTTTAAGTATGAAATAGGAAATATTTTAAAAATTAAAATGTTTTAAGAAAGATAATGTTTTAAGAGTGAAAAATAAACTGTACATGCGTTCATAATGAGCTACTTGAGCGTTGCCTTATTCTCGGGTAGCTTACTATAATTTTTAGTGTGCTGACGCTGTACCTTCGTAATTTACTAACATTATTTCAGTTGTTATAATGTTAATAATGCGCTTCAACAACGGAGGTCTTTGAACGCGCAGCTTGGTTAATAATACACTAGTCCAACAACGATACAATATTATGAGATAGAACTCTGTAATTTCGTGAACACAGCGCTGAGCTGAGCAGTATATTGTGGCAAATCCGACAAAAATACAAATTATATAATGTAATACTACAATGACGAAGGACATCCAAATTAATGAGAAAACTTATGATTTAATGATCTAGCAGTTACTTCACCTAGCTCATAAAATGAATAGCTAATTAGAAACATGCAAATTACCCCGAGAAAGCAAATTTTACACCCGGTAATCATAGGAAAAACTACAAATTAGAAAATAGAATGTTTAGTGTGAGGGAGGAGCAGGTGGAG